GGGTAGGGTAGGTAGGGCTGGGTATTGTCACTGATTTAAAAAATAGATTCAATTCTGGTTCACAAGGTCCCGAATCGATTCAATCCACGATTCGATTCGAATCGGGGAAATTTTGCCTCAGACAGTCAGAAATATTATAATTCTGATCACTTATCAGTACATGTCGATATTTTTATATCTATAAAAAGAAAACTGACACTTGTGAGACTTTATCAAAGGTGTAAGCATCACAGCAGATTCCTTTGTGTCAAAGTAACTGAGGATAAAACACAGAAAAACATGAAGGCAGTTTTCCTGGTCTGGGATTTTATAGCAGATGACCTTAAAAATATTGTGCAGTCAAAAACAAAGTGAAGCAGAACAAAGTTACAGAGGTTTGATTAGAGACACAGCTAAGCATTTTGAAATTTTTCATAATTTTTAAAAGTTTACATTTTTTTCAGTATTGAACAGCAGAAATGAGGCTTTCTTGTCGGAAGTAAAAAAAAAAAAAAAAACAGCAGCCGACACCGTAGACTGGTGGGTAATAAATAAGCGAATAATGCAAAAAACTTTTTAGATGGGAAACTATTCCTGAGAGAGAGAGAGAGCTCTACATGAAGTGTGATTTTATCGTGGTGGAAGCAAAACAGCAAAAGTCAGAGGAAATTCGTGACGATGTTTATGTGAAGCGAAATGTGAAGCGTAGTTTGGATCGTCTTTGGCTGCTGGTTCAGTCAATATTGTTTGGAGAGAGATAAAACCTGCAGCTTCAGAATCTAGCACAAAAAGGACATAAACACAAAGCGCCTGCTGACGCTTCAAAATCAGTGAGCTGTCGGCTTTCAGCCCCGACGCCGTGTCCGCGTATGTGCCGTCGGGTGAGAAACATCTCAATTCTCCAAAAGGTGGCAGAATTTCTACCCCCTGAAAGCTGAGAACTCAGGTTATCAGGTTTCAAGGGGAGTCAAAGTTGGTCAAGTTTTCTTACCTTTTCATCAGTCTGTTTATCCACTGGTTTTTGGTTTATAAGGAAACGGGTTGTATAATTGTGCTTTCTCATAAAAACAAATGCTTATTTAGTTCTGTGATGTTCAACTTTATTTTTTATTATGACACCGAGAAAACTACGGTGGCCCCTAGAGACAAAGCACGTACAAACTCCAAAACACTTACAAACTGCAAAACACGTACAAATT